GACAAGCTTTTTTAAAAACGAAGTAAATTAGTACAATTTGTTAGTAATTTTCATTAGAGTTTGAATAACTCCTTTTACTAAATGGCTTTTAGTAACTTTAACGAGATCTTAACTTATTTTATTTTATTCATTTTAGTGCAGTTTTGACAAAATTTTCTTGCTAAAAAATCTTTTGTTACACTACTTCATTTTATTCCTTTGATTGTACAGGTTAAATAAAAGCTTGTTTTTAAAAAATATTTTTTTTACATTATTTTATTTTATAATTTTTAATCCATTTATAAAAGCGTTGTATATTAAAAAGTGTTATTTTATTTTATGTACAAAATTTTGAAATAGATATAAAAATAATTCAACTTGCAATGAAAGAGAACAGAAGACTTTGCAAGCCAAATGTTGTTTGCTTACGTTTTGTTTAAACATACATATGTACATATAGCAGCAGTTAATTTTATTTAAAGAAATGGCGGGTCGTCCATTTCCGCTGTAGCATGGCATATATTTAGGCGCAATATTTAACTTCTTATAACGGGGCGACATCTGGAGTCTTTTAATTGTATCTCCCTGATATGATGCCTACAACGAGGTTCATATCTAGACTAGGAATAGCTTTGCTACACTACCGCCGCGGGGCCCCGGCAGCTTTAACAATTTTATAGTGGTTTTACGTTCTTTGGCAAATTACGCTCTGTTAGCCATAAATCTTACTATTTTTTGACCGCCTTTGAATCAAGACCCCTGGACCATATGGAGAATTCATTTACATTTTAAATTGCAGTGTCATCGGGATTGGAACTATGTTGAAAATTTCAAGTCTCCAACTTGTCGGGAAGTCAGTTTAAAATCTATTGGGAATTTCCGCGATTTGCGCGGGATGACCAAGTTAAATAAAAGCTTATAAAAAAATTAACAAACTTTTGTAAACATTTCGAGCTTTTTTATTTCGAATTCTTAGAAATAATTTCAGAGTGCAGTTTTGTAGCCATAAAAAAAGTTAAAGTAATTGGGACTTTTTTTTGATTTTTGGCATTTTTTTGTTGACGATGGCAGTCATTTGCTTCCATACGAAGTTTGCTCGACGATTTTTTTATATGGAGAAAATGAGCAAAACTTGCAAAAAGAAAAAAAAACCGCAAGTCCCAGCTAGTTTAAACTTGCACTTTATTTTACTAAAATTGAATGGGATACAAAACTGCATACTCAAAATATTTCTAAGAAATCTAATTCAAATTCAAAAAACATTTGAACTTTGATTTATATGGTTCTTGTTAAAGAATAAACTATATATTTATAAAAAAATAATCCCAATTAAAAAGCAATAAATTAACTAGTCAAATCTTGTTTATATGTGAGTGTCGTAAAGTTTCACAGATTTTGGTAGGATATATTAAAACACACCTTCACTAAGAATTTTTAAGTGTTAGTACCAAAAACAGCGGAGTTATATGCCACTTTTAAAAAAGCCCAATCTTTTTTTGATTTAATTTTTTAATGTTTTTTGCTTCTCCTCTAAAATATAAAACTTGATTTGTAATTTAAGGCAAGGGTGTGTTTCACTTAGACTTTTCCTGGACTTGCCGAAAATAAAAACATATGTATGTTAAGTACCACACAGTATTAAAATTAATTTTATTATTAAATATTTAAGAAATTCCGAGCTTCATTTTTTTCCCGGAACTCGGGATACTTCAGTGCGCCACTGGTGTATAAATATGTACATACAACCACTTTAATTTGTGCGATTGCAACAATAAGTGCCACAGAACTGCCACTCATTTTGTGCATGCAATAAGCAACAGCAACAATAACAAAGTAATTTTATTGTACAACACCAATAAGTGCGCTATGCAACGCTGCACATAACAACAACAACAACAGAAACTTTAATATATAATACATATATGTATGTATGTACACGTACATATCCATGTGGTTGGCAGCGCTTGATGCTCGGCTTCCGTCGCTATCTGTCAGTAGCGCCTTGTATGTAGGTACAAATACTCGTCCCGCCGATTGCAAATTGCTGATAAAGCTATTATATTCACATAAGTGCCACACATACATACATACACATTTATTTAAACAAATGGCTCCATATATTTATGTATGTGTGTATGTACATATGTATGTGTGTAGTAACTTTATAAGCATGATAAAGATCATTGTGGCGGCAAATCGGTAGCCAGGTAACTCATACGCCGACGAGTCGTACGCTGCGAGTTACTAAGTCAGCAAGGAAGCAAACAAGCTAAGTAGTTAGCAGTGCGAAGCGTTTCGCCAAGTAAAAAATGATTGATAAAGTCGCAGACACATTTGGAAAGGGTTCCCAGTGGCACTCTTCGTGTTGTTGTTGTTGTTGTTGGTGTCTGTGCATCCGTTACTGCTGCGCATTTTGTCACAGCCAACACATCGGGGAGTTGATATGGTGATAAATATTTATTTAAAGAGCGCGCTAATTGCATTTTTTTATGATTGCGAGTAAAATTGTTAATTGTGCGCTTGTGGCGTTTACTTAGTTGAATTGAGTTGCGCTTCATAGGGGCAGGTCTTGAGCGGAGGCAACGTATGAGGCGTTTGCTGCCTGCCTGTGTTGACGTATCCTGTCAGGCTGCCTGTGTGTTTGAACGCATGCGCCGTTGCATACATACACGCACTTAAAGCACTTTTCTAGGCATATCTGCGCATCACTTCCTTTTTGTGGCATGCCTCCTATCATTTTTCTGTATAACCTTTCTTTGCAATTTTATTTCTTTATCTTCAATTACTGATATATGTATTAATAATTTATTTAATTTGCTGATGTTTTTTCATTATTTATTCTTGCGCCGATTTCAGGTTCACTGCGTCCACCTGGTCTAATTGGTGGCTCCAAGCCAAAAGTTGCTACACCAACAGTTGTCTCAAAGATCGAACAGTATAAGCGCGAGAATCCAACAATATTCGCATGGGAAATACGTGAACGGTTGATATCGGAAGGTATGTATGTATAAAAATATTTGATACGAGTAAAATATATACCTATGTATGTATGTATGTATATAAAAATGTAGATGGCCTGTTAGGTGCAACCTCATAAACACCAATTAGAATGCAGCGCTGATTAAATGTATAATAAAACAGATATGCAACACATTGCCTCTACCCACATATGTATCTACCTACATTAGAGTGGTCCAAAAATATATATTTAGGAAAATCCACTTTTTTAATTTTTCTTGCTACCACCCCCCCCCAGAACTGAAGAATATCAAAAATAAGGAGACACATATATTTTTGTTTTGTTGAAATCGGTAATATTTATCTGTGCCGACGGGGTTTAGAAGTTTCCCATGCATCTTACATGGGGAAAATACACTTTTTCGTAAAATTGCTATAAAATCGTTAAAAATAAACATTTTTTAATCGAATATGACTATTTCCCTTCAGAAGTCTTCGAAAATAACACTATGATGCTTATTTAACTTAAAAACTTTACTAAGTGTTTTTTAATAACCTATCTCTTATAAACAAAAATTGGTCATTTTATGTTTTCATAACCACATCACGCACGAACAGCTCAATTGATGTGTTTAGTTCTTTTTTGCATTCTAATCGATTATATCTGCGGATATGTGGTAAAAAAATTTGAATAATAGGGTTGCCAGATATTTGAAAATTTAAAGTTATTCAAAGGCTCAATAAAATAATAAAAATGTTTCATTAAAACTAAAAGCGTGTGAAGAGATTTAAAAACATTTTTGTACGGGGTTGCCACCATTCCAAAAAGCACAACAACGGCTATTAAAATCTTAAGCTTACTTAATACCACAATATGGGTATCAAAAGGAAGGTTTATGCACTCCCAGAAAAGGTTTCTAAAAAAAAGAACTTTAGTTTACATATATTTTTGGATAGGGTTGCCATTTATCTATAATAAAAAAGATTTTAAATCATGCTACATGCGGTTAAGTAAAATATAAGTTTCAAACAAAATGTGTTAAAATAAAGCTTTAACCCCTACATATTTCTGAATAGAGTTGCCGCCTATCAAAAATTTTAAAATGAGTGCGATGCATCGTCGCTACCATGTCAAACTATCGAATGTGCAGAAATGCATATTGCATCATTTCACTTAACTTACATAATTACCTCATTTGAGTTAACAGATGGGTGGCAACCTTTTTTAAAAACATGCAAGTCTAAAGCATATGCGTACACCTTTCGTGTGATACCCATATTGTGGTATTAAATAAGCTTAAATTTTAAATAATCATTGTTCTATTTTTTTTAGAAAGGTGGCAACCCCGTTAAAAAATGTTTTTAAATATCTTCAAGCGCGTTTAGTTTTGATGATTTTATTGACCTTTAAATAATAAAAAAATTTAAAATATCTGGCAACCCTAAATTTTGGACCACCCTAATGTACATATGTAGATATATATAACACTGTATAAGGCATTGTAGTAGCTTCCCTGCAGGAAACTATAAGTTATCATGAAGTCGATTATGAAGGAAGTAAAAGACACTATTATCTGTGTATTTTATTTGAGTCAATGGTGGTTACCTCTGCATTACATGTCAACTAACTTGTGCCCAACTACTTTTTGGCATAAAACATAAATAAGAGAAGCAATATTTTTTTTTAATTTTTTACTTCCTTATTTATTTATTACATATGTATTTGTTTGTTGCTGTAGGTGGTTCCATATTCGAAATCCGTCAGACATAACTTCAAAGTGATGATATAAAATTTCGATCCTTCCTTTTATTTGTCCTGAATTCGAAAAAAGTATTTGTGAAGTGCAGAAGAAAAGTGTATTCAAAGTAAAATTTGTATGAGGATATCTAAATAGAAACTTGTTTAAGGAAAACAAACTCCCGATTGCATCTGCATGACTCCTGCAATACTTTTCAATAGTTTCAAGTTCGGCTTTTGTAGGTAACTATAAGTAATATATTTTATCAAAATCACGCCAAAAAGCTATCTACAAGGATGTTATTTTTATCAATTCATAATTTTTTTCTGCAGGGTAATTGCAAGCTTTTTCTCAAGCGTGTATGTTGTGTGTGTGTGTGTGTACCTTCGCACGCTGTTGGCTTCATTTAAGTCATTAGAGATTTTAATCCGATACTGTTTGTTTGCGCGTTGCTCGTCACTTGATTGATTGCCCATCTGGGCTAATGATGGCTTAAGTCAGCTGAAAGCGGCTTCTTTACTTGAGAGTTAGCGAGTGAGCGAGTGCATTGATAGATAAGCAGTCGGCTTGATGCAAAGCAATTTAATAACTCATAAAATGCCTTAAAAGCGTATTAATTCATTCTACTTCTTATACATATACATACACTTATGTGTACATACATATGTAACTACATACATAACTGATGTATTGAGCCTTAAGTCAAGCTTAAGCTAGTGAAGCATTTAATTCTGTAAAATTGTTCACAGATGAACTGATATCTATTCGACCATAAATCCTATAAATCTCAATGTTTCGATAAATGCATTAAGATATGTACATATGTATGTATGCAAGAAGAGGTAAATATGTGAAAGTTCATCTCTTTATGAGTAGCGATTTCTTAATGTAAGAGCTTTTAAACTTCCACTGGATGTTTCTAATGTAGAGATGCAACGGATAGTGATTTGGCCGGATAACGCATATCCGGCGAACTGCGTGCCCGGTTGGCTGAATATCTGGCGGTCGAATAACAAGTCCATTGTCTTGTTGTTACCAAAATAAATATATTTTTAACTCGACAGAATAAAATACGTTTACGAAACTGGAGACGTTCAGGAAAGCTTTCTATAAGTATAACCCTGAACTTCAGAATCGTTAATTTTTACAATCATGTGATTTATTAAACCACGTTGAACGAAAACACTAAAAGACAAGTTCGACACTTTGGTAATCTTTCACAATTGATAATCTGAGCGCTCTATGAGCAAATTTCAAGTCTTTTCCAAGTTTTCGGACTACCAAATTCTAGGAGTAACTCCTTTCTTGGATGACGGGTACATATGGGTATAAGTAATATTTAAGACAGGCGGCACATCTATCGAAAGTTTCCAAATTGTTTATTGAAAAATTTGAACACTAATTTATCAACAAGTTTTCTAATACATATCCATTTATTTGTGTGTATATTCCCCTCACAGCCGTTTGCACAAATACCACTGCTCCGTCGGTATCTTCCATCAATCGTATACTGCGCAATCGTGCCGCCGAGCGTGTGGCCAGTGAATTTGCGCGCACCGCTGCCTATAGCCTCTATCCACCACATCCTTATGGCGGCTTCACTTGGCATCCCTCGGCTGCGGCGGCAGCGGCAGCAGCGAACGCCCCAACAGCTGCACATTTTTGGCCCACACAAGCCACAGGACCAACGCTTACTACGCTACCACCATCCGGAGGTGGCGGCAGTGGTGGTGGGTGTGGTAGTAGTGCTGGCAGCGCTGCAGCTGGTGGTCTGCTAACAAGCAATAATCGTGCAATATCGCCCGGATCAGGTAGTCGTGACACTCTAGAATCGCCAGATGATAGTCGGCATGTGGATTCAGATTACTTGGATGATGATGATGAGCCAAAATTTCGCCGCAATCGCACTACGTTTAGTCCGGAGCAATTGGAAGAGCTGGAGAAGGAGTTCGATAAGAGTCATTATCCTTGCGTGAGCACGCGCGAGCGCTTGTCTAGCCGGACGTCGTTGAGTGAGGCGCGAGTGCAAGTGAGTAGCGTAGCAATCTTAATTTCACGTGCTCCTTTTAGGTGTATGGTACTGAAAATATTTATGTATATACATTAGGGCGGAGTAATTTGTTCGGAGCAAAATTTTTGTAGAAGGTGTATAGCAAATCAGAATTGTACTATTAATTCTCAGCAAAAATGGCGAACAAACTATATATCAAAAATGACGTTTGACCCTCCCAGTTTTCAAAAGAAAAAAAAGTATAGTACATAAAGAAACACACAAATTTTGGAAAAGGAAAATTAATTTCGTCCAGAAAGAATTATAAAACACAATTTTTTCTTTTAAAAACTGGGAGGGGCAAACGTCATTTTTGGTAAATAATTTGTTCAGCATTTATCCTTAAAATAGAACGTAGAATTCGAATATGCCACACACTTTTTTCGAAATTAAATTACTCCACCCTAATATACATATTTTTAAGTTTTGAATAAGATGAGCATCTTGCTTACATCCACACCAACGTCCATATGCATAATCATATCTAATGTATTCTATATCCATATCCATATGCACAAGCATATCCATATTTAAATCCATATACATATCCATATAGATACATATCCATTTACAAGTTCATATTCATGATCATATACATATTCATATCCATATCCACATCCATATTCATATCTATCCATATCCATATCCGTATCTTTATCCATATCCATATCGATATCCATATACAAACTCATATCAATATCTATATCTATTTCCATATCCATATTTTTATCCATATCCATATACATATTTATAAACATATCCATATCCGTATCCATATCTTTATCCATATCCATATACACATTCGTATCCATTTCCATATCTATATCCATATCCACATCCATACCCATATCCATTCCCAAATCCATTCCCATATCCATATCTTTATCCATATCCATGTTCATAATTATCCATATCCACATCTATACTCATATCCATTTCGATATGCATATCTTTATGCCTATCCATATTCATTTTCATACCATGTTATTACATATCCATATCCATATTCATATCCATATCCATATCCATAACCATATCCATATCCATATTCATATCCATATCCATATTCATATCCATATCCATATTCATATCCATATCCATATCCATAACCATATCATTATCGATATCTATTTCCATATCCATATCTTTATCCATATACGTATCTTTATATATCCGTTCCATATCCAAAATTATCTGAATGGAAAGTTCCACTGATGTAGCGTGTCCTTACTTTCGTTTTCATTCTGCTTGAATATTTTTTAACCGTTCTTTAATTTTTATTTGCTTCACTCAATCACTCATTGCAACTTTTTGTTCTTTTATCCGCTGCTTGCGCATTCAATGGTCGCGTTTATTTTTGAACTAACCACATCGTCCTTTCCGCATTGATCAATTCAGGTTTGGTTTTCCAACAGAAGGGCGAAGTGGCGCCGCCATCAGCGCATGAATCTACTGAAGCAGCGCTCCAGCCCCTCCGGCCATCCACACGTTCCGCATTCACAGCCGTCGCCCGAAAGCAACAACAACAACAACAACAACAACAGCTACAGCAGCAACAACAACAACAGCCTCAATCACAGTTACAGCCACAGCCATGTATCATCAGCGACAATGGGCGTGGCCGCTTCACCGACCTCCAGTTGTCACAGCAACAGCAACGCCTCTACCTGTGCGGCCAACGACCAACAATCAGGGCATCACCATTACCCGCTTGGCGGCAGTCAATTGTCGGCGACAGCAGCAAGTTCTCAAGGGAGCGAATTGGAATTTCGCCCGCTCGGACACCATTTCACGCACCATGCTGCTCATCCGGCGAACAGTACTGCTGCGACAATGTTGCTCAATCACTACAGCCAACAACAGCAGCACCACCACCAACAACAACAGCAGCAGCAGCAGCAGAAGCAGCAACAATTGGCCGCCAAGGCGCATTATACGGCGACAGGCGGTCAGCTGCAACACGCAGCGGCGGAGGTGAACATAGAGACAGCAGCAGCTGCGGCGGCGGCGGCGGCGGCGGCACAACAACAGCATCCGCAGCACTTAGCCGCCACGCTAGCGGCCAGTATAGCGACATCACAACAACAACAGCAGCATCAGCAACAGCAACAACACAGCCCATCGCCCACAGCATCAGCGCCATTATCCATGGGCGGTGAGCATAGCGCCTTCCGCTCGCTAGTTGGTTCGCCCTCTGCGGCGGCATTTGCGCACTTAGTGCGGCAATATGCAGTGGCTGCGACATTATCGGCAAATGTCGCTAGCATGGGTGGCGCGACGGATGAACTCAAACAGCAGCAACAACAACAACAACAACAACAACAACAGCTGGTGACTGTGGATGATTCCTCCGAGGATTCGGAAGAGGAGATCAATGTGCATGACGATTCTGAAGATGAAGTGGAGGTAGTGCGGCGTACGACGCGCGGCAGTACTGTCGACCAAAATGTTGGCTACAGTGGCAATAATAACAACAATAATGGCAATAGCGCAAGTGCTGCTGACAACAACAATCAAGGTAACGAAATGTTATCGCTAAGCGGCAAAGCGCCTCTACAGCTTACCAAGCATGACCGTTGAGCGGCCGTTTTGAAACGCATAGCGGCGAGTAGCATTCTACAAATTTATGCATATGTATGAGTGTACATAATCGCGTGAAGCAGGGCGTTACGCGCACGGATTGCATTTCAACTAAATTTGACAAACCTGACTCGAGGCGCGCTTGTGATTGACATCGGTCCGTCCGTTACTTAGTTGTAGCTGGCGCATGCGCAATGCACAAAGCGTGAGCGTAACTACATACTGGCCCCGTATATGTAAGTATGCCGCGCCGCTATGAACGTCTGTGTTTGAGACAAGTCGCCGCCGCCGCTGCTGTCGTTGTTTGGTGCGCTAGTCGTGTCCCGTCGCTTAATTATGAAAGAAACTTGAAACTTGGCGGGCAACGACAGATACTTTGTACTTAGCGCTGCAATGGTAAGCCAAACAAAACTAAATAAAATAAAAAACAACTATTCAAATGAGCTTGTTCGCTTAGCAAAATTACTACAACAGCAACAAAATAAATACATAATTTTAAACCAAAGTAATTAACAAAATCGTATAATACTACAGTAGCGACAACGAGCGTGCGCTTGCTATTTAACATAAACAAGCAACAACAACAACTTTGAAATACTACACAAATTTGCGATCGTTGTTATTGTTGCACTCGCTGGCTGGGCATATGTTAATGTACGAGTATATATACATAGATGTACATACATAAATAGAGTAGCTAAAAGAAAAAAATTTAAAAAAGAAATAGCTTATTTTATTGAAAACCAAATAAAAAATACAAAAATATGAATTATTGTCGCAAAATAAATTTAAAATTCTAAGCGATGTATAAGTAAAAATGTTTGTAAACAAATTCTTGCAAAATAATACATACAAACATATCTAACTTGCTTGATAATATCCATAAAAATATATACATATGTATTTGCATTAGGGTGCATCATTCTCCACACAAAAAAAAATGTTTTTGTTTTTCCATCAGAATTATTAAGTTTATTACATTTTAAAACTTACGCCAAAATATGCCGCAAAAATATTAACATTACGTGAGCTGACCAATTTGAAAATAGCTGCAAAAATCGTTTTTTTTTATAAATAAATTTTAAAAATATTTTCACCACAAATCATCTCAGATGATAGAAAATATATTAACGTGAGCTGGACCGATTTGAAAATGCTTTCAAAAATCGACTTTTTTTTAATAAAAAAAATAGTTTTCAAAAATTTACCACAGCTGATAGAAAAGTTTAGGCTTATTAACGGAATCAAATCGGTTCAGCTTAATTAAGTCAATCTAAATATTTCTCCGGAATATTTTGGCGAAAGTATTAAAATATGAGAAGTTTTATAATTCCGGTATACAAACCGAAATTTTTTTTGGTGAGGTACCCTAATGTACATACACATATTTGTAAATAATTATAATTCTAAATTTACAATTTTTAAATAACTGTAATCACTGAAGAAGGCCACAAATGACAATTTTACAGGATAAGCAAAAGCTCTCAAAATTAAGCGAAGTGCACATTTTCAAAAAAAAACAATAAACTGGTCTTGAGCAGTGCCCGTTTAATATAATTTTTTCTAGAACTTAAAGTTTTTAAATTTTCTCTAAACTTCTGCTTGTTTGCCACCGATTAAGAAAATTACAATATATTCCCTTGAATTGGTATAAAATATCTACTTACATAACATTTTCTGTTCAGTTTTGAATATTTTGCATATACATAGATATAAGTTTTTAAAATGATTTTGATCACCTAAATAGGTAACTCTATTAAAAAATACATTTCGATTAAATAATTCTATAATATTTTTTTGTGTTTACCACATTTTAATATTTCATGTGCCCAAGTTGCTTAATTCACTTTGATAGGTGGCAGCCCTATTCCCAGCGTGAGGTTTTCCAAAATATCTTTCGCAGTGCGGGCTTAAAATCGACGAAGATATCGTCATCACGTTACTTCTTCTATTTATTGGAGCCTTTTTATCAATCGACAACGCGGTAAACCGTTTTTGTAATTTTTTAAGGACCAATCAGGTGCTTTTGTTAAATTCCAACCATAATGGTACAATATAGTTAGAGTAAAGTATGGCGGACCATTCTAAATTCTTAAACTATAGAAAAACTGCTTAAGTCACATAGACGACTTTGTCAAAGATTCATAAAAATATAAATATATTCAAATGTATCTCGAAGTATAATTAATTAATAAGTATACATTAGGGCGAGTCAATTTGTGTGGGAAATATTTTCGACTATACCGGTAGGGTATAAGAGTATTCTACGTCAAATCCTAAAAAACTTTGGCGAAGAAACTATGGTGGGTCTAAAATCAATTTTGAGCTTGGCAAATTGTGAAAAGTTGTTATTTTTTCCTTAGCAGCGTTTTAATTTTCTGCAGTGTCTATTTTTATGAGGAATCCATAATTTGAGAAAATGTAATTAACTAAAAAAATTTAATTTGTTAGTTGTGCCGGCTCGAGGCCAAATGCTTTTTTTTAGAAATTTTAATTAAACCCCAGGTTTTTAATTTTTTCGAATATATTTTGGTTACATCATCATCTTAAAAAAAATTATATTTTCATTTGAATCTTAGTTGTGTGGAAAAAAATGTAAGGGAGAGTGAAAATGTGATAATTTTTCACATTTCAGCATGTTTTAAGAAAAAGATAAGTCCAAAAATGAATTACTCATACCAAAAACTCTTATGGCATGAGTTTATAAAGAAAAATTAACACTTCTTTGCGACACTATGTATGTTTAACTAAAAAACAATAAAACGTTGCTGAGAAAAACACCTATTTTCGCATTTTGCAAAGCTTGAAAGTCTCTTAGAATTTCGCGTAGTATTATCCTATGCCATACCTGCAAAGTCAAGAAAAAGTGACCCGCCCTACTACATATTCAGAAACATACATATATAGTGAGTGACATAATGATAAGTTCACCCACATAATGATAAGTTTTGACTATTTAATTTTTTTTTTCAATTAGCCAATTCTATTATAATGAAGTGCAAGCTGCAAGTGGCTTTTTTTGGCAAGTTTTTTGACGGTGTCACGCATTTTCTTTCATACAAAGTATGTCGGAAAAACTGCATACCCAAAAAATATCCTAAAACTATGAATAAAAAGCGTGGTGTTTTAATGGAAATTTGGTGATTTTTTTTTTAATTTTGCGCAAAGTTTTAAACATGAATTTATATGGGTTTGGTTATATGTAGACTGAACTACATTAAAAAAAAAAAAAAAATTATTAAAATTAATAAAAAAAAAATCAAAACTTCTCAATATGTGGGTAACCTTATGATTATGTCACTCACTGTATTTGTGTATGTATACATATGTATAATAATATAATAAATTCAATTGCAATAATATAGTATTACTACTTAAAAAATCGTTTCATTACATATCTAGGTATCATAGTATGTAGCTAATAGTAACTAAGTATTCAATGAGTAGCGGAATAGTTATATAATATAAACAATATTTATTGTAAATATTTACTATTCAGAAATAAAAAAGAACATTGCAATTATAATTTTAATTTAGCGCGTATGCTGTGTGTAGTATGTACATTTGTGTGTGCAAATGCTATGGGAGGGAGCACACAATCCTTAAATGGCTACATACTATCTGAATGTGTTAGGTAATTAATAAATTATCCAATAATTAAATATCAAATATAAATTAATAATAATACTATAATATTTACATATGATTTTTATTTAATAAAAAGGAAGCTAACAATTGTCTTTATAAGGTTTGTATGCAAATTTTTATCATTTATTTTTCCAGTGATTCTGTACACATTTTCGCCACAGATTGAAAACAGAGCAACTTATGGAAAAAGTCACAAATATGCTTATGCTAATAGACTTTACATACATCAGACCTGTAACACCTTACAAGCAAACACAAAAAAAAACTGATATATGAGTGCTAGAACGGGTAGGTACTTGAGATCAATGAACTTTGAAATATTTCGTACTCGAGACAAAAACTTCGATATAAATTAGGGTGGTCCCTAAATGTAGAAAACAAAGTTTTACATTAGATTTCCTAAGCCTCAACCCTTACGTCGATGTTACTATAGTCGAAGATGTCACATATAGATTTTGTTCCCGATTGGAGACGGTCAATGTTCTGTGCAATGTTCTGTCTGGATTCCTGTATTATTATTCTTAATTTATTCTTAGACGAACTCATATATTCCTTAAAATGTTTTAGCTTATACATATATTCCTTAAGGCGCTTTGGATTGCTTTAGACCTGGTATGTTATCCCAGAACCGATTTCTATTAGCCTCTTTCTCTAAAAGGGCCAGGTCAGCCAGTGCCCCTTTGCCTATGCCACAGAACTGCTTTAGGCCGATGAAAGGGGTTGATGCTCCTTTCTATGCAAGTTTATCAGCAATCTCGTTTCCTTCAATAGCAATACGTCCCGGAATCAAGAGAACCTAAACTCGATTGGTCAGACCAAGACTATTCAGCTCAACAAGGAACTACATCAGCAGTTTAAATGTAACCGGATGAGACCTGATAGCCTTGATAGCCGCTTGGCTGTCACTCTAGATCGCGATATTCTGATTCCGGTAGTTTCGCTTGATATTAAAGTTCTAGGGCGCATGTTTCAGCCTGGAAAATGCACGTATTGTTTTCCCAGGGGTTTCGAGTAACTTAACTTCGGTCCAACTTCCCCTACCCCGTTACCCCCTTCGAACCAGGTTATCATGTTTTGGTTTATCCGATATATGTATGTATCTCGGATATGCCTGCCAGCTCTTCTTATTACTCAGATCAGTTTTAAACCAACAAGATCTAGAGCCGCACCAAGAAAAGCACTTGGGGTCAAGGCAAAGAAACATGACTATGCGGTGCCATGGTGGTTCATGCAGGTTCCACAAACAGGCAGGTATTTGTCGTCAGTTAATATGCTCCTGAAAGGGACCAGCCCAGTACACAATTGCTGAGCCACCTCCCCTGCATGTTGGGAGGCAACTTTGTAAGCACATCATTCGATCTGAAGAACACCTACGTACTTAAGCACTCGCCTCATAAATTCAATCATAGTAGTACAGTAGCATTTGCTGAAGTAGATATGAGACCAGGGGAACACGAGTAACAACTTTCTTTTGGATACTGTTTGACAACGTAAGTCCGCTATTAATAAGGTTACATAAACCAACGAATTTAACTCTGCTTAAACTGCTGATTCCCCTTTTTAGGAATTCATAAAAAGCAAAGAATTTAAATGTTTTTTTTTTTAAGTTCCCTACAGGTCCCGATAAATTCACGAAATTTCCCGGAAAAACCTCGACCTAATCAAGTAAGACCATGGAAGATAAGATACGAAGCTTCCAAAACATTCTGAAAAAATTTCGAGAAGTCCCAAAATATTGCAAACGTGCCCAAATAAACTTGAAAAAATCCTGAAAAGTAAAACACAAAAAAAAAACAAAAAAATTAAAAGAAAAGCACTAAGAATCCCATAAAAAACCTGAAAAGACCCGAAATAGTTCCAAAAGTTGACAAAAAATCTTAAAAAAATGCCGAAACTCAAAATTAATACGAAAAACTCAGAAACAATTTTTAACGTTCCTAAAAATCTTGAAAAATCTCAAACAGTCGCGAAAAACTCGAAATTTATACGAAAAATAAAGCACGAGGAATCTCATTAAAAAAACAATCCGAAAAGCTCTGA